CTCTGGTTGCGCTCGATGTCCAGCAGCGGCGGAAGGTCCGGGAATATATCCGAGATCTGCAAGGTTTTGGCGTCAAATGTATTATATTAGTATTACTACTATTACTATGGCTACTATTGTCACCATTACTATTACTACAACAAATGATAATATGATACTGGTGATCATAATGATTACAATATGCTTAAAGAATTTTAGATTGTTTTGATAAAGTGAAAAAGATTTTGCAATAGCTAACCTCCTTCTGGATTTTAGGCACAACAGACCAGTGCCTCCAGTAAAATGGCATCAAAATGTGCTGCATCAGGTTCAGGAAGCGGTGCTTCAAGCTGAGTGGGCTCGGGTACTCCTCCAGCATCCCAGACACGTAGGCCGGGTTCTGGACGTTGCCCAGCACGGCGCTGTGACACGCGTCCATCCCGAAGGCCGCTATTGTCATGTACGTTAGTTCGTGCACGAACGGATAGATCATCTGAAACAGTCATAAACAAGTCCAGCATCATGATAAAATTAAATCACACGAACTCGTGTGCACTGGAGTACATCTTCACACACACACATATTTATATCTATCTATCTATTTATATATGTATGTATATATTTATACACGCATAATTAATGGGCAATACCGCATCCACCTTTTATTTCCGGCTACGAGAGTCCCTCTTGTCAAGCTATCAGCCAGGTCTTTAGCCTATCTCCACTCTAGGCACGACTTCTTTGGTCGACCCAAAGGCCTCTTCCACTCAGGGCTGTCTCTAGAGGAGACATTTTGATGGGTAGTATTAGCCTCAGAGAAGTAATCTTGGTGGCCATATATCCTTATTTAGCAGTTGGCAGTTTGGTGGAATACTGTCAAGACGAGGCACCAAAATGTAACCGATCCTGCAAAACTACTCTAGATATGTAAGGCTATTTAATGTCTCCACTACAGCCATATACACGATGAACAGCTCCAAGAAACCTCTAAAGCTAAGGATGCTTCCTTATATTGCTAAATGCTAAGTGCATCTCCAAGAATTCGGATAAGATACAACATTGTCTCTTAATTCAAAATCGGTGATCTTGGTGTTGCCCAGTGTTATAACTTTGGGTTATAGCTATCTGCGCATTATCCAGTTCGTGCAAATGATGAAGAGCATTGGTGGAAATAATGCATTTAGCCAGTCTTGGAGACACTAGTAGCATTTAGAATAAGGTGAAGTCTCTTGGACCTATTCACCTAATAAATGGCTGTGGTGAGGTCGAAATCAGAATTTTTTTTATATATCTTGGTAGTGACTCTAATCTGTCTCTGATACTGCTGCTTTACCTTACTCTTGAATTCACAAGAAAGTAGCAGGACATATCCACATCAATATAAGCTGGACTTTCAGTATTAGTAAAAAGACGCTGTTAATCCAGTTTGATTGAATTCCTTCTCAGAAATTCTCCCAGTGATTCACGGTATACAGAGCAAAATAGCTTCTTCAGGTCGATGTAAGTAGCAAGAAACCCATAACCGAACTCATGATAGACTCTACAAACAGACCACAATGGTCTGGTCTATTGTGGACTTTCCAATAATAAATCTAGAAAACTCTAGTCTTTGGTTCCTCATTTGGTAGTATTTGGTGTCCCTTAATCCACCAGATACCGAACAACCAGATGGCAGCAAGAACAATATATAATCTAAAAGCTATGGGCTTACAGCAAGACTTACACGATTCAGGAGGGACACTGTAAACTCCCACTGCTTTACTATCCTTCAGCTTCAAAATCGTCACCCTAATTTCTGTCGGGGTAAAATGTCTCACTCTGATAGGCGGATCCGGCATTAGGGTCAAGACACACCATCTATGTCCATGTTTACTGTAAGTGGCTCAAAATCCTTGACATTTATGAAATGGACTGCAGTGTCATCTGTAAGGAGGACTGGGCTCTGCTTTCTCTACATTGGTAAGCAGGACGAAGGTCATTTACAAAGAAATGGCTTTCTGTTTCCTGAGTAAAAATCCTAATAAACTGTTTCTTGTCCCTCAGTGTCTGTCCTACACACCAGGGGTCAGTGCAAGTTGAGCCACGTAGCACACATCTGTGGTCTCTAGCATCGCCTACGTGATAAATTCCACGGTGTTCTCAGGCAATTACCAATGGACTCCTGAGTTGCATCTAGTGAAGGTGTCTCAGTGCTGTAGGATCTGCTAGGCTGTTGAGTGTTACGAAACGATCACAGATAATCTTGACAAACTCCCGAGCACAATCCTCCTTCCTCAATCTGTCCAAGTGAAACGGATCCAAGACACCTCCAGAGATAGACGGCTCTATCCTATGGCGATCAATGGACAGACATGGGGGTGTTAAGATGGACTTGCAGGATATCCACACTGTATAAACGGTACCACAACGCTTAGTACTCCGATTAAGTACAGTGAGTTTACACATAAACATTAATTTTCATACAGTGATATCTATGTATATCAGTACACGCGAATACCAACATGTGTATTGTATATACACT